CACAAGGCACAGAATGAATTTTGCCATTACATATTTCATGCCAAGATCCTGTGTCAAAATCCCAGACAAAGTTTTTGGAATCCCCATATCAGCTTCTAGTTCTTGCTCTCTCAGACGCCTTTCTCTGTTGATTGCAGCCTGTACACTTTCAACATTCTCAGTTCTGCTTATTGCAGGCCTTCCAGGACATGGATCACTTTCAACAGATTCTCAATCATCTTTGAAGCTTTGTGCTACACTTTTATTTGTGCTGCACTCATTGATCCATCTGTGAAAACCTTCTGAATCATCCACATAGTTTCTGCAGAGGATTGTTCAAACTTAATGTAAAATTTTATGCAGATTAATTGCTGTACTCGCCCAGTCATTTTGAATGTGATGACCACACAGTACACATGCTCACTCTCACTGTCTAATGTCTGCCACCATCACTGACTATTGTTCACACATGCACATTCCAGTCCATTCTCCTTGCCTGTCAAGTTACACTGATGTCACGCAAACCATTCTGGTTATATTACCAATGGCAAGACTTTTTCTAGACAGATCTATGTAGAAAAATAAAATTTAAATACTCTGTGAAACCATCACCTGCTACAAATCTTCATTACTAGTGGAATTCCTGTCTTACATACAGGTTAACAGAAACCATTATTGCAACTGAAGGACATTAGTCTCATTTCATCTTCAATTCCATTTTCTCTTCTCAGTAATATAGATACATGCATGCAAATATACTCTAAAATATTTTCAAAATATAAGCTTTACAAATAATAGAAGGTTAATATAACAAAAAATATGGTCATGTTTTGGGTGATTGAATGCATTTACAAATACATCTCATCTGACTATCTCCCCCGATTACATCAGTGTTGTATGCAGAGACTGCAGTACCTGACAGCAAGCATAGAGCAAGGATCTTCAACAAATCCGTTTCACATCTGTTCTGTACAATAAAAAGTTTTGTAGATGCTGTTTTCTACTGAACATTGTCTGCAAGGTGTCTGAAGTACTTTGCAGCTATAATAATAGATGTCCATGAACTATGTTTTATTTTGTTGTCTGGAAAAACTGTTTCTGCATTAGCAATAACCTGTGTGGCCATAGATACAATGAAGAAAATGTAAGCAGATGGGACACATCTGTTAATCATAAACATTTCTTCATTAGTGTCATCATCAGATTTACTTGTGTTATATTTCTGTGAAAGACTCTGACAGTGCTGACAGTGATCATATTTAATCTATATTTTAAAACAATCAAACCAGGCCCTGGACAGTTAGCACAGTTGGTTAGAATGCTGTTTCGACATGCCAAGGTTGCAGCACATACAAGAATCAACATATGAATGCATAAATAAGTGGAATAACAAATTGATGTTTCTCTCTCTAATCAAATAAAATTTTAAAAAACCTAACCATTGGCCATTTTTCTTAGGTGTGGCTCAATATGTACATGAAATACATTTGGACTTTTTAAATCTTGTTCAGGACAGCTCCTTGCTGTTAATCATGTAATATCAGTCACATCCAAATTTTTGTAACTAAGTGGCAAGTGCATATTGTCTCCTCAGTACTGGGGTATGAGAAGATGGTAAGGTAGAGTGGAATTAATCAGCAGTAAAGAAACAGTGAAGACACAGAGGTGTACTATTACCAGCTATGCTATTCACCTTTGTGACCCTGGACAATGCTGCCCCTCAACCTCTTCATCTATGGAAGAATGATAAGACCATGTGATAGACATATGAAACCCTATGCAAAATGCATATGGTAGATAGAATTCAAAAGATGGTAACACAAGTAACACAAATTATTGCAAATGGTGGTGCTCCAAATCATTGATGTTCCTCAAATGAAGATGTATTAGTAATTTCTAAATCTTGACTTACTATTGGGAAGATTCATATTATACAAAAATCTAAAAATTTTTTTAAATTCATTTTTGTGCCTAGATTTCAGAATTATTTTCAGGATCCAAATGAGTTTATATGCAAGAAAGAATTTTTGAAACTGCTATAGCATTAGCATAATAAGGAAGAAATGCCCATAGTTATACCTCTAGACAAGACAGAACTGCTCTTTGCTTCTCTCTACAACATATACAGAATAGCTTGAGGCAAAGGACTAGGCCACAGCACAAGAGGGGGGAGGGCTCTGCAAAACCATCAGCTGCTGCAAATCTTCATGACTAGCGGAAGTCTCTCCTCACATACAGGTTAATAGAAATAATTATTGCAAGTAAAAGATGCTAGTCTTATTTCATCAGCTAATAAAAATATGTCTCCACAAATTGACTATCCAACCACAGGAAATATTTAACAGTAAAGTTATTTTAACCTCACAAAAATTCACAAACCAAATAGCATAATATAAAGTCCAGGACAAACCAAGCTTCACTCAGAATTTCAAAGTCACAACAGTTCTATCTTTGTCATCCCGTTCTGGGTACAGCCATGTGGAAATCTGCAGGGCACTATGCAGTCTATAATGGTAACAAGGGAAAAAAATGGACTGGGCAACAGATAAAGAACCATGTTATTGAATGGACTGTAAAAACAATTTACCAGCCCTGGCTGGTATGGCTCAGTTGGTCTTTCATCCCATACACTAATAAGACACAGGTTCCATTCCCAGTCAGGGCACTTACCTGGGTTGTAGGTTTGGTACCGGATGGGGGTATGTACAAGAGGCAACCAATCGATGTGTCTCTTTCACAATGATGCCTCTCTCCCTCTCTCTCCCTTCCTTCCCTCCTCTCTAAAATCAATATGCATATCCTTGTGTGAGGATAAAAAAACTACCAATGCAAATAATCAAATTTGATAGAACAAAAGCAAGAGAGACCCCCGTACATGAGAAATTCAGAAGGAGGCTACCGAATACAGGTACCAGTTATTAACTTATGTCTGCCTTTCACTTTCCTTAACTTGGAACATGTGTTGCACTTTGGTTCATACTAATGATTGTCAACCCTGGACACACGTTAGAGTCACCTGGGAATAATTTAACAAAGTACTGAAGGCAGGGCTCTAACTCAGACCAATTAAATCAGAATCCTGGTATAGACCAGACATTAAAAAATGAGCGAAACTCTCCATGTGGAGGAGTGGAGTCGGGGTAGAAAACTCTGCACTTAGACTCCATTTTTTCCCAAAGTAGCAGCTTTCTCCCTATGACACGAGGAATTTTCTTTAAAATAGTCTCCCACTTTGTAAGAGGAAATAAACATCTATAATGCCCAAGGAAATGCTCAAGTTTAAGTTTAAGCATGAGCACCCTAAGTCCAAGATATTTGTAAAAACATAAAAAACAAATTGAATCCTCAACTTGCCTATAAACTCTTGGGAATATCTAAGACTGTTGAGGAGACAGTTTGGACTTACTATTGTATTTTTTCAAGTAATCTTAATACAAATATCAGGAACAAAAAATTTTTCCATGAAAAATGAACATTTCTAGAGATAAATCAAAGATGACATGGATTGTGAAAATGCCAATTAAAATGTCTCATCAATTATCATAGATAGATAATCTTGATAAAATTTAATATCAAATAACCACCAAAAAAATAATTCTCAATCACTAACATCAAAAATCTGAAATAATTGGAAAGTGGGATAAAAGAAAAAAGTTGAATACTGAGGAATAGAGTCACACACAGTTTTCACACACTGCAAGAGCTTTTAAAGTAGCAATTATACAATTTTTAGAAAAAAGGGAACAGTAAAGATGAATTTGGTAGATATTAGTTCAGTCCTCTGCATACATACATTTCTCCTTCCTTGGGCAAGAGGACATGCACAGGGACAGCAGGACACAAGAAAAGAGAGTGACATCAAAGAAGAAGGTGAGGAATTGTGCGGAGGCCCAATTCTGTCTCAGAACCCTGCTCCAGAGTGTGTTCCCATCTGCTAACACCTCACTGACTAATCTTGTACAGCCCATTTGGCCACCTTCCTTTTTTCTCTGGAAACAAAGGATGAAAAATGGCCATTTATTTCAGTTGCAATGATGAAAAGAGAGAAGGGATTTGAAAATTGTAGCGCATCATGCCAATGTGACACCTCATAATCATTATAACACAGCAAAAGAAGAGGTATAGTAGAGTTGGAGAGGTGATGCGTAGGGAGGAAAAGTTAGCATGCAGGAAGCGGAAGTGAAGGTGAAGTGGAAAAGATTCACAGATGGGTTAAACCATGGAGCAGTTCAGTAGCAAATGCAGTAAGTAAATAATTAACCAAATCAAAATAAAACCAACTATAGGATCTATAAGGAAAGAGAGGGAAAGTCAACAATACTCAGGGTGAAGAACGAGCAGGCTGAAGAAGATCAATGCTTGAAATGAAGAAACAAGAACAAAATTGGAGAATTCTGTGGGAGAGGAAATGAAACTTAGAGGCTAAAGAAGTGGGTAGCACTCTGGTTAGAGGGTGTAGGTCACTCATTCTGTCAGAATTATTCAGACCATGGATCTAACTTTGAAATTATTTGCCATGCAAAACACATATGGAGATATTTGAAAGATTGTAAAACATGTAAATTATGATCACCCTAAGAACATCTACTTAAAATTCTCAAAGGTAAAAGATGTGTATTAATTTTCTAAGTTTAGGCTTATTGCTGTGTAAATTCAACTGATAAAAAGGCCTATAAGCATGTGTGTGTGAAAGAGAGAAAGAGAATCTTTGAATTTTTCTCTAAAAGAAGAGTAGGGGAAGGGTACTATTTTGTGCTTTAATATACTGCTCTTAAAGTAATTTGACAATCAGCTCTTCAAAGCAAAATGCCTAAGCAGAAGTAAAGGGAAAAAAACAAATTCAAACTAAGGTCTGTAACGAACAATAACAAGGTTACCTAAAAGCTCTTAGTAATCTGGCCACTCAGTAAACAAAGAAAGGAACCAGGAAAACTACCCACAGCATCCACTGGGCCCCTCCCTGAGGGCGTGTATTCTTCCCACTGGACTTTCAATAAATTGATGAAAACGAGTTACTGTACCTGCAGCCAGAGCCTGTCCCCTGCCATGGTCTTGCCGATGGCATTGCACTGGAAGGTGGCAAACTGGCCAGCATTCACTTCCACGTTCTGAATTCGCAGGAAGTGGGGGGTCCTGGCTACATGGAGAAAAACAAAGAAAGATATTAAAAGTGGAGACCTTTACCTAATTTGTGTCTCTTTGACTCTATCTGCAATTTTGGGCCTTTCCATTTTGTTTACCTTTGAACAAAATAATGCTTTTGCTTATCAGAGCTTTAAAGATTTCATTATGATTGTAAAAGAGATCGTGGAAGGCTTTGGTGTTCTCTATAAAAAAGAATAATAAAAAACCCAGTGTTCTGGGATGGAACCAAACAGAAAGAAGATATTTTATTGTTCCTGCTGTGCAAATTATCACAGCTCGGCAGTCTTCTTGTAATAACAGATCTGTATTAATAAAGATTATACTGAAGCCTAATTGATGTTTTGAACAAAAACATATTAGATATTTATACTAGCAACATGAAAAGAACAGTAAGAAGTTAAATGATGTTGTCAAGGAAACTTTTTAAGCCAAGTACAGAGCTGTGCAAAATATATATTTCAATACAACTAATTGGTATGCAGCATAACTAGTATAATATTCCCCAGCCACCAAAAACACTATCCCTATAGACAGGCTCTGAAATTGTGCTGGGACTGCCATACCATGGTGGTTTTGCTGACTGTATTTCCCATTCAAGAAGAAATAATGATTCCAAATGCTGAAAAGCATTAAGTCTCCTACATACATTGTCCACAAAGATAGCTGTTTAAATAAAAGTTAATTCTGAGAATCATAGGCCAGTTTCTAAAGCACATTGAAAACATGTGTCAGGTAACTGGAATAGTAGGTTGGGAATTAAATTTTTTGGAAACTTCTACTTTTAAGAAAAAAGTTCTCTATCACAGTGATGATCCTGTGAAAGAGTAAAAGGGGCGGGGACAGAAAAGGGTAGGGAGTATAAAATGGAGACAACAGGATGACAGTATTTTCTGGGAATGATGGATAAAGCTTGACAACCACTAGAATATCGCTATGGCATGCCAGCTTTCCCTCACAGCCAGCATATCTTTAGGTCATGTGTTAACAATTTCAAAGAATTGTGCCCAATTACTAGGTACCCAAAGATGATAAACGAGCACTAATATCAGCCTGTGAAGAACATAATTAGGAATGGAAGTGGGTTACTAACCAAGAACAAAGAAAAAATGAATTTTAATATGAACAAGACACAGGAAAGCCCCATTACTAATTTGGAGATCACTAATAATTCAGACAATGTATTCTTGATGCTTAGCATGCAAAATACCCCAAAGAACTTCTTAAAAAGCAGTGTAACTACAGGTCACTGTTTGTAATACTAATATATTAATTTAAAACCTTGTGAACTAATTTTTACTAACTTAATCAAATTACCCTTGGGCAAGAATAACATGATTCTATGGTTTTCATACATCTTTGTAAAAAGTCCCTAAATCAAATTTCTTTTCTATTTTCTGTTCTCAAAAAGCTAAAAGACCAACCGTTTTTAGCAAATGAGCATCTCTTTAAAAATATTTTATTATATACACCATTCAAGTTATCCCATTTTTCTTCCTTTGCCACCCTCCACCCAGCCCCGAATTCCAAAATCAGTCCCCTCACCATTATCCTTGCCCAGGGGTCCTCCATACATGTTCTTTGACTGGTCCCCTCACCTTCTTTCAGTCAGTCCCCACTCTCTCCTCCCCTCTGGCAGCTGTCAGTCTGTTCTATGGTTCTGTGGCTCTGGTTCTGTTTTGTTCATTACTTTATTTTGTTCATTAAAATTCTTCTTAGTAGTGAGACCATATGGTATTTGTCTTTCACCGACTAGCTTATTTTAATTAGCATAATAGTGTCCAGTTTCAACCACTCTGTCACGAAAGGTAGGATTTCCTTCTCTCTGCTGCGTAATATTCCATTGTGTAAATATACATAGTTTTTTTCACCCACTTATCTACTAATGGGCACTTAGGCTATTTTCAAATCTTGGCTATTATTGTAAACAGCACCGCTATGAACATGGGGTGTACAAAAGGATTCTTAGGATATAGTCCCAGCAGTGGAACCACTGGATCAAAAGGCAGAATAGGCATTTCTCCAAGGAGGACATATGGAGGGCCCATAGGCATACAAAAAGATGCTCAGCATCACTAGCCATTAGAGAGACACAAACTAAAACCACAATGAGATACCACTTTACACTGGTCAGGATGCCCATCATAAATCAACAAACAACAAGTGTTGGAGAGGATGTGGAGAAAAGGGAACCCTAGTGCACTGTTGGTGGGAATGCGGACTGGTGCAGCCACTGTGGAAAACAGTATGGAATTTCCTCAAAAAATAAAACGGGGACACTTTTGAGCATTTCTGTGCCAGACACTCTTCCACTGAATAATCACAAGTGTCCTATGAAGTAGGTATTTTTTCCATTTTACATATGGGGACAGGGAACTTGGAGGTACTTGGCTAGTGAGTATCAGAAACAGAGTGCAGACTCTGCTCACCCAGTTCCACAGCCCACCCTGCCTCAGCAAGGCCCACAGGGCCACCCACCCATGGCCCCGGAGCCATACTGCCTCAGCAAGGCTCACCGCCCTGGGTCGGCCATTCCCACGCCCTTCAGCCCACTGCCAGGGGCTCCCTGTCTGATGGCTGGGGTTTTAACTTCTTTCAAGGCCCTTTGTAAATGCTATTTCTTCATGAAGCCTCCATGGATTCTCTTATCTTGTTGTTAGACCTTTCCAGTATTACATATCCTCTGTCTCATATACTGTAGTTCGCCTTCATTAGTCGGGGGGGTACATTCCTAGACATCCGGTGGGTTCCTGATACCACAGATACTACTGAATCGTATGTATTCTATGTTTTTATTATACATACATACCTAGGAAAAAGTTCAATTTATAAGTTAGGCACAGTACGAGATTAACAACAACTATAATAATATAAGGATAATTATAACAACGTATTGTAATAAATAAAAGTTTTGTGAATGTGGTCTTTCTTTCTCTCAAAATATCCAATGACTGATCTGATAAGGACATGGCTGCTAAGTGACTAAAAAGTAACAGGATGTAAAGTGTGGTTACGACGACCACCCCAGGTGGGCCCGGCGGAACTGTGAGGGACTCTGTCGTGCCACTCAGAATGGCGCACAATCTAAAACTCATGAACTGTTTATTTCTGAAATTTTCCATGTAATATTTTTGGACCACAGTTGACCACAGGTAACTGACACTGCAGAGCATAAAACTGTGGCTAAGGAGGGACTGCTGTTCCTGGGGTGACATCCCAGTTGGAGTAACTGGGGTGACACTCACTGCTGTTTTAATCACTTGTATGTGCAGTAAATAGCACTTAATATTAATGCCTCCAGATAGCTGACACTCAATACCATAATTTAACTGGATTCATATTATTTAACATTAATAAACTTACACATATACCCTTGAAAATTGTTTACAGTTGACCCTTGAACACAGATTTAGGGGTGCTGACCCCCAGTCAAAAACCCACAGTTTTTTAGTTATTAAATTTATTGTGGTGACATTGGCTGAAAATCCTCTACAGCTTTTTTAAAACTTTTATTTATTTATTTTTAGAGAGAGGGAAGGGAAGGAGAAAGAGAGGGAGAGAAACACTGGTGTGAGAGAGAAACACTGACCAGTTGCCTTTCTCACAGGACTTGTCTGGGGACCGAACCCACAACCAACCTAGGCTTGTGCACTGACTGGGAATCGAACTGGTGACCCTTTGCTCTGCAGGATGATGCCCAACCAAGTCACATGGATCAGGGCCACATAGAGCTTTTGATTCCCCCATGACTTAACTACTAATAGCCTACTGTTGACCAGAAAGCTTACCAATAAGGTAAACAGTACATTAACACTTATTTTGTATGTTATATGTATTATATATGTACTCTTATAATAAAGTAAGCTATAGAATAGAAAATATTAAGAAAATCATAAAAAATGCATAAAATCTGTGTATAAGCAGACTCACACAGTTCCAAGCTCCATGGTACAAGGGTCAACTGCACTTGTGATTTCAGTTTCTTTAGAATTCTACTCTCCTTCATCAGCTCTGATGCAAATGAGCAAAGTTCACTACACAAAAACTTGTGACAATTACTATTGTACACTTACCTACATCACAGATTCCCCAAATTAATAGAAATCATTAAGAATTTGAGATTTTTCCCTGGCTGGTGTAGTTCAGTGGATTGAGTGCGGGCTGTGAACCAAAGGGTCGCCAGTTCGATTCCCAGTCAGGGCACATGCCTGGGTTGTGGGCCAGTCCCCACTGGGGGCCACGTGAGAAGCAACCACACATTGATGTTTCTCTCTTTCTCCCTCCCTCCCTTCTCCTCTCTCTAAAAATAAATAAAGTATTTAAAAAGAGAGAGAACCTATTTTTAAAAAAGGATTTCAGATCTGACTAAGTTAATAGGATTACATCAGAAGCTGAAAAGTTCTTTTCTTGTCCAGGAAATTCATACAAAACTGAGTATTCTTATTCTTCTAATTCAATACAATATGTTCATTATAGTACAAATGTCATCAACTGGGAACTTTTTCAAATGGTTTTCCCCTGTAATTCTAAGCACATTACCCCTAGCCACATGGACACTGAACTACAATATGTACACACCATTAGGAAAAAGAAAAAGAAAAAGAGAAAGGATGGAAGTGGAACTCCTGTGTTCACCAGGGCACTTGCATGAAGGTAGGTTTTAGCTACTTCATGTGAATTCTAAGGCGCTGACTGGAGTGGCGTATGGTCTGCAGTCTTTCAGGACACACAGTAGCTTTCACTGTGACTCCTCAAGGAGCTGCCAGGTCCATTTCCTTCCGACCATCCTGAGCCACCAGTGGTCTGCTTCCTAAGGGATATCCCACTTACTCTCAAAGCTTCCACCCCTCTATGGAAACTCCTCTTCTCATTTCTCATTTCGCAATGATGAGGCATGCTTTCAGCCACTCTGATCATTTTTCAAAACTTCCCAAAAAACTTCTAAATTTTTCCTTTCCAAATCATTTTCCTGCAGCTTTTTCCTTTGTCCATTCT